TTTTTTTTTTATTAGCGAACTGCACAACCCATTAAAGGAAAGAGCATCTCGCAGGGAATTATTAAAACTTCTTTAATGAAGTGATGCGATGATGATTAAGGGTGAAGGGACGATCACATATATATTCAAGCCCAAGGCGGGATTCGAATCCGCGATCCATCGATCCGAGATCGCTGTAATACCACTGCTTAGCGATCTCACTATCCGATCGGCTGACGCATATTGTACGGGATTAAAAATGCAGGACCTAGAAGAGATTACAAGAATCATGGAAAATATTTTAAATCTGATTAAAGAGCCGTTACGTAGTGCCTTTTTTACGCTCACCTTCAGGAACTGTACACTTTCTAAATAATTTTAATGGTGTGTTATACTAGTATTATGGTTAAAAAATGTGAACGGACTGATAAGATGATATTTCTTTCGAGAAGAATGGTAAAAATTTAAAACTATCGTTTAGTTCATTTGGTGCATTTTTCCTTTGAACTTATGCACTTTGCCTTTGACAATTATAATTTTCTTCCTTGCTCTTATAGGCAGACCCGAATTCTAGCTTGCATTGAACCATATGGATAACAAAATACCAAATTTTTAGCAACGAATACATTAATAGCCAAGGGCCATTGCACTCTTATCCGACAATCTATTCTGTCATAGTTTACCCTACGACATTCGGTGTACAAAAATCGGAGCCCGGCAAGCATCCACTCAGTCAGTGCAAATAGTGAGACAGACGTCAAACATGCAGAGAAATTTGGAGAAGATAAGATCTAGGACTTCGTCTGGTTCCACCAGTGTTCAACTTACAGTAATAACTGTACACAAGAGGCTCTTGATTTGAATCATGAGAACTATTCCAGATACGGATTCGAGAACTAATGTTTGCGAAAAATGTTTCGTCACATTTCAAACGATTTACACATAAATCAAGACAAATCGGGTTTTGAGGAAAATGAAGGCGTAAAGTAGTAACAATTTTATTTATGTCTGAGTGCAATCAACCACAAACTGATTTGCAATGCTCGGTGGACCATTTTTAACTTTTACCATTCGTCTGCTAATTAAAAATTGAAAACGACCCAATATTTTTACGTTCAAAATTTCAGAGATTCTAATGAAAATCGCAACTATACCATAATTATAAATTTACTTTATTCTATTCGAGCGACAACAAAAATAATGAAAAAATTGTGTAAGCATTTTCCAGAAAATTTTGAAAATGTCACAAGATCGTCATGTAAAGTGCCCCCTCCATCAAATCAAAATATATTAATATCCGGAATGGCATAACCAGAACTAACCTCTGGCGTATTTACCAAGTTTCAACTCAAAAGCATCTAACTTGATAGAATTATCCGCAACATATACTTTCATCCATCCATAATTCCTGATCGCCCACGTGGAACTCAGTTTGAATGGAAATTGAATTAAAATTAAGCCAGGTACAAAATTGCGTCTCCTCGCCCCCTGCATCAATCTTAATTGTTTTTGCAACACAAATAAACCTTGATTCCTGACGAGTGTGCTAAATTGCAACACAAACGAATCTTAAACACAGTCGTTATGGCCGAAAAATTTGGGATTGTTTTGTTGAAGTGATTCAAATCCTTTTCCACTCTATACAATAGCATACTGGGAAAAGTAATAAATAAAATACCTACATCCTTATATTGTTAAGTGGTCTGCGCCTGTTCGTCACTCACTGTTAGACCAAGTCCCTCTCTACGTACGGGTCCAGCAAGCGAGACAAATGAGGTGATATTCGACGTGTGTCGGTCTCCTGGTAGAAAAGGATAGTTATCCATACTAGTAATTCTAATAAATTAAGCTCTTTTCGACTGTTTTCGCGATCGAAAACTTCTACTTCATTTTAAGTAAGTTGGGCTACATTGGCTCAACACGTGCCTTTGCGAGTATTTTCAAACTAGCAAAAATATTTGTTGGAGCTGGAAGAAAGAACAATAGTCGAACTGACAGAAAGAAGGTGAGCGAGAGAGACTTTAATGGGGAAAACTAGCCACTTCTTCTCAAAACGAGTATTTCCGTCAAAATATGGACATT